TTAATTATTTTAATAGTATCCTTCGGATTGAGAATGTATGATTATTGCAACATTTCGCTTAGAAAAAGGCTTTCAGATAAGTTCATGAATGGCATATCTGTCAATAACAAGAGCAACAACAACAGATAATCTGAAACTAAATCTATAATCTTATCAAATATACGTACTAATGAGGATGAGGGTGAGGATGTTGATGAGGTAAATAAAATGCTTACATTCAACTTACCTTATTTTTATAAGAATACGTATTTTAATGAAAAAGAATAGAAAATAAGATAACTTCTGTATAACTACATAGTGATGGTTATCAGGAGATTCCAGTATTTTCTGCTGATATTCATTTTCGCACTTATGATCCATCTAAGAATAGTTGTGATGGATGTAGAATTAAATTCTGCATCGGATGGTGCAGTTTTCGAGAAGGGTCGCCAAGCGAAAAGGCGAGCGAAGTTCAGTGTTTTAATGGATGCGAATGGGTATGAGTGTGGTTGTAGACCTTCTTCATACTCTCAATAAAAAAGATCAAATCTTTTGATAAGTTCACACAACTTGTTATAGTTGAATAATTTTGATAAACTATTTGATTAAAAATAAAAAAAAGTCTAAACCAAGTAGCACGCGAATAAGAGAAATACGAACGTTCTTGTCACAGATCAAGTTCATTTCATTTATTTTTACTACTTATAAAAAAATTCTACATACAAATAGAATGCTCATTAGTATAAAATTCGAAATATGTTCGAAAAAAATAATAAAAATTAGGATAATAGCTAATTTCATCAAAATAATAATTAAATATTTACATATCATCTCTAGCCGATCACAGTGATAAATAATTTAAAAAAAACATACGCAATACATTAAAAGCAACATAAAAATTTTTTTTTCTTCAAATTAATTTTTCAAACATTTTAGAAAATGAAAAACAAATGTGAAGTTTTTCAAAAAAATTTCAAGATCTCTCGAAATATTAGTTTGTTTTTGAATAAAAATGAAAGATAAAATAATTAATATCATTTTCATTCGAAATTCTTGTGATATTAAACAATGCATAACGAATGGTACAAATAATGAAAAAATTAATGAGAAATTCTAGAAATTTTCTAATTGTGAATATTAAAAACAAATTTATCAATATCAGTTGCAACTGATAAAAAACGTTGAAGACGTTCGATAAATACAGTACATAATTTTATTAAAACAAACATTATGTTGTCGCTTGCATTTCATATTCCCAATTTGATGAAGAATTTATTGATCAATAATGATGACAAATATTTAATATTAATAATATACTAAATACTACTAGAATAACATGTGCTAATACTAATATAATATATCATATTAAATACTTTGGTATAATTAATAAACATACTAATGTTATTGTACAAGAATATTTAACAACTATTTATTTAGATTTTAATCTTATTGGATAACAAATCTAAAAGAACATTATTTTCAATTTTATTTTTATTTTTAAATAAATCAAAACTTACAATAGCAAAAAGACAACTTAATTATAATGCAATTAAAATAATATTTCGATGAAATATTCCAAAATCTATCTGAATTTGTCATTGATCAACAAATGAATCTGGATCATGAATTATGTAAAAATATAATGATTATATATACATTATATGATGATAATATTGTTATATAAGAAAATGCAACATTTTCAACAACTAAATTTGTTGAAGTTTCAAAACTTTTTTGAGCATGTGTGTGTGAATCTGGGATTGAATGTAGGTGTCCATTGTTCATTTTTGTATTCACGCCTTGATTCATCTCACGCCCACTCTCAAATTTCCTTAAATATATTTTTTACTCTATATAAGAATAATGTTTTTCAAAATATACTGAAAAGAATATGAAAACAATAACTAAATCTCTTATTTGCTTTACAAAAAATGTGTACAATGAATGAATTCTTATAGAAAAATGATCAAGTGAACATAAATCTGCTCCACAGATGCTTTCTTTTACTTTCGTTAATCAAAACAAGATCACATAACTGATAATGTTTTAAACTTCAGTTGAAGAAATATTACAATTTTGGATATGATGGAAGAAAAGAGTGTTTGATGAGAATGAAAATTGCAGACATAGAAGAGTTTTTTCCTAAAACAGACGTTTACAAAATAAACATTTCAATACACTCAAATAAATAAATCAATTAAATAAAAAGAATCTATTTTTGACTTCAAGCACTCAGACAAGTGTTGAGAGAAACAGTTTAATGTTCTTTCAACTAAAGTAATAATGTGGGAAGTAATGAAAAAAAGAGTAAAGACAAATCACTTATTGCTGTACATACATTATTTTTTTATTGATCACACAAAAAATAATGCGATTTATCAGTGTCTTTTTTTTCGTTATATCTCTGTCATCTGTAAAAGGTTTGTTAGATTATCTTTTTTCATTTGACTCTATCACAATATAAATGAATTCCATAAAACAAACTACACAACTACTTAATTATTCTTGTAGTGAAAATAATGTTTCTATTCAGTTTACATTATCTTCATCATCTAATTCAGCTTCGAATCAAACATTATATTATTCTTTACAGCAATGTAATATAAGCTTGAATGAAATCCATGAAAGGTGCTCCCAAGACATCTGGTCTCGCGACATTTGCTCCCCACGGATATTTGCTCTCTTGTGATATTTGCTCTCCAATATCAGCTGTCGATTTTGAGGACAAGGGTGTGGATGTGAGTGTGAATATGGATGTGGGTGTGTTATGGTTAACAGACTGATACCACACCCTGACTCATAGCCGCCCACCCACACTCACACCCTTCTTGCAACTTGTAGAAAGTCTGTTTGATACTGTTGAAGAATAAACCTCATAGAAGAGCAAATGTCGGGGGAGCAAGTGTCGCGGAAACAAATGTCACGAGAGCACCTTTCGTGATACCGCTTGAATGATATCAATAATTGTCGTTCATGGGAAAGAGACATTTCGCATCAACTTTTTTTACGATTTCCTGACATATAAAAACATGCAAAATCTTCGGAATGACAAAGATTTACAACAAGCAGGGTGTTAGGATGGGTGTGGGTGTATAAGTAATTCTTTCATACTACACACCCACACCCACCCATCCTCATCAACGTTACTGTTATTGTAAAATAGATGAATCATCTAAGATCAAATTTAGCAACAGAGTATGTGTGAAGGTGAATCAATTTTGATAGAGAAGCTAAGATTAATTTTCTATGATCAGTAGTTATCTCACCTGTTTTGTTTGAATTGATGATATGATTGAGCAAACTACCACTTCAGAGTGTCACATAGCAATGACTAAAATCAACAATTTCCGGCGAAAATGGTGTTTTTCTTGTAATTTAAATACATTTTTGTTCCTTATCTTCGAAGAAATTTGAAATATATTTTTACTTTTTAAGATGAGAACTATAAAGAAAATAATACCTAAATATGTATCATCTTCTCGTTATTTTCTTTTGTTTTTATTGTGTATGGGTGTGGATGTGGGTGAGGATGCGAATATAATCTAAACCATCACCCACAACTCACATCTGCCAATATTTTATAGAAAACTATCTTTGAAAAAGGAAATATAATTAAGATTTCTATTGTTATAGAATTTTTTTGTTGTTCCAAATGCTACAATATTCTGAACTGATTATTTAAGAGAATACTTGTTTTTATATAACTCAAGCAAAATAATTTCTATCTAATTGACGAGAAGTAAGGAATATATATCATTTTGAAGTTAGATTTAATCGTCTCGAATAAAAATGAATCAAAACTTGTTTTTAATATTGTTTTTTATTTTGATTTAAATTGATGAACTAATATAACATCACATCTCATAAATATTACAAATATATTCAATGAGTTAATTTATCTTTTTCTACACTTATATCAATATTCATCAACAATCTGTGAAGGCAAAAGAGTTCTTTATGTCGATTTTAGATTATAAAAATATTCAAGTTTGACGAGAACAACAACTGTGAACATGGGTAACACAGTTGCACCTGATGAAGTAATGTGTTAAATAGAAAGAAAATTATTTTATTTTATTTTTGAATATTTTAGTCGACAGTAACTAACTCTAGTACAACACCATTAAGAAGATTGTATGTATATATTGTGAATAAAAATAAATTATCAAAAAAAATCTATTATTCTAGATACGAATATTTTCGAAAGCGAAGATTAATTTGTATAATATTTTTCATTATTTGTATTGTTGTTATTGCAGTTGTTGTAACAACTATTGTCTTATTGATCAAAGCTGAAGGAGAAAAAACATCAACAATGGAGAAAACAACATCATCAACAGCAACAACAGCATCATCATCATCATCATCAACAAATACAAGCGGTATGATTTTGTTAAAACTAATAGATTTTAAAATTTCGCCAATGCGGCTTTCGCCAATTTCACTGTGAATTAGATATAGACCAAAAACTTTTTCTTAGCTGCACTGATGAGTGTAAGCTATCACATGCGTATACTAATAGCATTAATGTGAGCTCTAACATATATCCTTTATTAATATTGTTTCGTGATAACTAGCAAAATTCACTGTACTTTTACCACTGGCGAATGTTATGTTGGCGACAGTCTTATTGAGGAATATCTCGTCACTTAAATCACTTAGTTTTTTATTTCAAAGAATTCATGAAAGAGAAACTATTGTCAGAATTAATTTTTCTTTTTCAATCTTAGCTATTTTATTCGAATAATGGCATAAAGTAATTTAATCGTGCATAATCGAAAGTCATATATCATAGGGTGTGAGCGTGGGTGCTATGCAGAGAGACGATCCGTACTCACACCCTTCTATTGAGTAACTGTCGATCAAAACTTGTAAATTTAATCGAGAATCGAAAAATAGATCAGTCAGTATAATTATTACAACGATTAATTTGAGACAAGCGTCTTTTATATGTTTGGTGGAGATAAGAGAGGAAATGAAAACTATGGAAAACTGAAGATGTCATAATGGTATGTAAAGAGATTTAGTGCAATAGATTTGACTACTATTATTGGTCCATATAAGTTTGAAGTGATATAAAATAGACATATCAAAGACTGTCGTTTTTAGAATAATGAATGTTGAGTGTTTGACGATCTAATATTGTATTGTCTAAATATATCAAAATATAACTTCTAGGATGGTTTTCTACT